GGGGAGGCCAGAGGTGGTGAGTGAGCGAGTCCGAGGAAACAGGGTCATCTGGCAGCAATGATGAGCGGAAGAACTATCAGACTATGAGAGCACACTCCAAACCTGCATGGCTTCAAACAGGACAAGAGTCCAGCACGGAGAAAGGGAGGTGGGCACAGGAGTGAGCGGTCACTTGTGGAGGAGTGTGACCTCTCTCATAACCTTCTCAGCTATTAGCAATGGATACGGGTGGGACAAGGAAAATAAGGTTTCTCTAATCAAGTGCCACTGGCTTTATCACAGGGTAGGCCCAGTGCCCAGAAGTTAGCCAATACAAAATGGACTCCATGTTGGTTTTTTTTTCCTTTTCTTTTTTCCCCTTTCCTTTCTTCCACTTGCTCTGGCCTTGATTGCTCTGGCCCAAAGGTTTTTATTTATTTATTATATGTAAGTACACTGTTGCTGTCTTCAGACACCCCATAAGAGGGCATCAGATCTCGTTACAGATGGTTGTGAGCCACCATGTAGTTGCTGGGATTTAACTCAGGACTTCTAGGAAGAGCAGTCTGTGCTCTTAACTGCTGAGCCATCTCACCAGCCCTTGTTTTTTTTTTTTTTGTTTTTGTTTTGTTTTTTGTTTTTTGTTTTCTTATTGAGTTTATTTTTGTCCTGCTTTTTGAGAGAGAATGAACAAGAAGTTGTGATGGTGGGGGTGGGGTGGGAAAGGGAAACGATACAATCAAAATATACATATGAAAAATCTTAATAAAAAATTAGTCAATACAAGCCTTAATCCAATAAATCTGGTATCCTCATAAGAGAAAATCAGAATACAGACCAGTTAGGGAAAGCGCAAGGCGAGAACCCACGGACTGCTGACTGACCACTTCCTGCTCTGCTCCAAGTGCTAGTGTGTCACGAGACCCTGCTATCTAGTCTTTTTTTTTGGGGGGGGGGTGTTATTTATATATTTTATATACACAGGGGCTTTGTCTGCATGCATGTCTGCACACAAGAAGAGGCTATCAGATTGTGTACTGCCATGTTGAGCTCGTAAATGCTGAACCATCTCTCCAGCCCCACTTTACAGCACATCTGAACAACTAGATCTGAGCTTTCCCCTACCGTGTGAGGACCTACCACCACGCACCCTTTCTCAGACAGCTTTACCTTTTTCCAAGCCATGCAATAAACAGCATTCCAATAAAAAGAATGCTTTGGGAAAACGTTTTAGAGATTGTGCATTTCAGGACCCTATGAATTATCCTGAAGGACAATCTGAATAATGCACTTAGGGAGAAGTAACGTTGGTGCTGAGGGAACAAGACATGTATTTACCTGGCACTGAGGGTGTCCCTAGGGACCAGATCTGCAGTTACACTAAAACTCTTCAAGGTCAGCATTGAAACACTGCAATACTCAATGCAAGGCAGACTCAAGGACCCCAGACTCTCAAGGCTTATGCTTACTATAAAACTGATTACTGTGAACAATGAAAACATTAATCACCAGCACTTCAGCATTCTACAGCATAACTTTCTAAGAATTCAAACAAGAAGTAATGAAAAAAGATAAACCATTTGTTGAGCTAAACATGAATATGTGCCAGACATTTCTAAGTGCTTGACATACGTTATCACCATCTTGGGTGAGAGATCACCACAATCCCGGTTAATAATGGCAAAGCTGAGGCACAGTGGCTGAACAACTTGTTTAAAGTCTTGTAGTTAGTATGTGGGAGAAACGAATTTGAACTCAGTACATTTGACTCCAGAGGCTTCCTTGGAAACTACTGCTCACGGATCTCACTTTGCCAGCCTTAGGTGATGCAACAACCTCAGAGATAATCTAGTTTGGCCTCTTTTACAGATGAGGGTTGTATGAGCAGTTAGCGAGATCCAGGTCTAGCACTGACCACTTAAAATTTGTATTCCTTCCTTCCATCCACCCACCCACCTATTTTTATGTGTGTGCAGGTCTGCACACATGCCATGGCTTTTGTATGGAGTTCAGAAGATGACTTGCCAGAGCTGGTTCTCTCCTTTGATCAAGTGGTACCCAGGACTAAACACAGGTCATCAGGCTTGTCAGCAAATGTCCCTAACTGCTGAGCCATTCTGTTGGCTCCACCTCTCATATCTCAGGTTTAGTCTAACTTGCTGTTTCGGACACTAAGACTAAGCTCTGGTTTGGTTTGGTTCTTAGGGTGTTCTGTATATGTATCTGTTCATCTGTCTCTCTCATATGCTGTCAGCAAGCTTTACCTGTGTACTGAAGAACAATGGAAGCAGCCTCATGCCCGTAAACAAACAAGGACAAAGCTACTGAAAACCAGCTCTGTTAATCAAGCATGGTGGTGCGTATCTGTAATGCCGGCACTCAGGAGGCTGTGGCAGGCCATGACTACACTATAAGACCCAGCTTGAAAATGAAAACCGTGTCTGTCAACCTGAGTACCTGACTATACCCTTTTACTGCTCTTACCAACATAACCACACAGTTTTAGCTTCTAGAATAGGTGCGAATGAAAATTAGTAATAGTTTTTATTGTTTTTTAAAGATTTATTTATTTATTTTATGTCTGTGAGTACACTGTAGCTGTCTTCAGCCACCCCATAAGAGGGCATCAGATCCTGTTACAGATGGTTGTAAGCCACCATGTGGTTGCTGGGAATTGAACTCAGGACCTCTGGTAGAGCAGTCAGTGCTATTAACCACTGAGCCATTGTTCTAGCCCTAGTGGTAGTTTCTTTCTTTTTTTTCTTTTTTCTTTCTTTCTTTCTTTTTATTTTTTTTTGTTTTTTTGAGACAGGGTTTCTCTGTGTAGACCTGGCTGTCCTGGAACTCACTCTGTAGACCAGGCTGGCCTCGAACTCAGAAATCCGCCAGCCTCTGCCTCCCAAGTGCTGGGATTAGAGGCGTGTGACACCACTGCCTGGCAGTAGTTTCTAAAAAACATTTGTCATTGAAATTTTAAGAAATGACATATATCTTTAAATAACAGATTATCAGAAGTTTGAGCTAATTTAGTACTTGCTAGTTAGTTTAAATGAAATTAGATTCCAGCCCAACACATCCGTCTGTCTTTCAATCTTGCCCACTGAGTCCCGGAAAACTCTGGTTTTCTGAGACAAAACCAGAGCAAGGGAACAATGGTTGTGTAGGTTGATTTTATTTTCAGTAAA